TCTTGTAAAGTTAATATGTTTTGGAGATCTTATAAGACATCTCCATGTAGCTCTTAGTTAAGAATATATATGGAGGCAAGAGTAAAGCCTTCTTCATTCTTGTCAATGCCTTTTTAGTCCTTAGTCTTGTTTCAAGAATTTGTAGTCTTCTTATCTTTGGCAGTAGCCATTCTAATTTAATACTATATCATCTTTGAATAATTTTTTAGTCTTTTTAAGTCACACAAGAGTATATTGAGGTTTTCTTTCTTTGGGATTTATGTCCTTGATAGCAATGCAATGCAAATGAGAAGTATGTCAATTTAGACTTCAATAATATATACAAAATTAATTCATTTAAAAAATCAATTTAATGATTGTAATGAATTAAGTTTAATATATTTGGATCATAGACCTTATAGAAAATTAGAAATTTACAAATAATAAAATGATTCTTTCAATAAGAATAATCTATCTTATGTGAAGTACTTTCTATATCTTTTCTAACAAAAGCATGATGATTTTTATATTTATTAATAATTTTTACATTGCATACAGTTATATTTTTTTTAAAAAAAATTAAAAACTATTTTATCATTACAATGTTTTAAGTGACATAGCAAAGTGGTTGTTAATGCTTATATTACGTGTCTTTGTTTTGAGCAAAGAGGACAATATTTATGTCATGAATTCGCCAATTTTTTTAAAGAGTATGATATTAGTAGATAACTTACTAATATGTTTTTATTTTAGAAAAATGGTATTTTCAATAAGAAGAATATGACATTAATAGAAACTACCTCAAGTATAGCAATGGACTCCAATATGTTAGTCTATTAGTAGATAGAAGAAATTTAATATATAATCTATCTACAAAATTAGAATTAAAAAAAAAAAAAAAAAAAAAAAAAAAAAAAACTATATTGGTTATTCTTTACAAAAAAATATTCAATTAAAAATTAAACCTCCGAAATTTATTAGTTTTCAAATTACATGATTTTGTGCATATATCTGAAGAGAGAGAAAGAGAGGAAAATAAAATAAAATAAAATATCTAAATTTATTATTGCTAATCTTATAAGCTACAATAAGTAAAGTAAAGCCTTTCATTTCTTTGACCTATTTTGCTATAGAATTCTATAGTGACTTACAAAATTATTTTAGTACTTTAAAATTTGACTTAATCTAAATATTTTAAAAAATAGAGCAATATATAAATACTTGCTATAATAAATAAATTTATTAATATATAATTTAAGAGTCTTTATTATGAAGGATTTCAATAAAATAAGTTTATGGATGAAGATTTTTTTATGTATGCACATTTTGCTTATTGAGACAATTTTTGAATTATTGCTTGTTATTCATTGCAAATACTATTGGAATCTCTATTGTCACTCATCATTGTATCACTTCACTTATTGTGTACTTCTTTTGTTTCTTTAACAATAAAGAGTTTTCTTTCACTCTTTTGTGTATACATATGCATCTTTATTAGTCTATTGATTGTATTGTAAGCACTTAAATTGTTTCATTGTCACCATATAAACTATTGAATAAGTCAAAAAATATATAAATGTATAATTATTAAAATATGATATTTTAATAAGTAAGATGTCAAGTCAATTCAATAGTAGCTCTATAATGATTGATTACATTTTCAAAAGGTATACCTTAAGATGTTTAATTTTCAAAGCAAATCAATAAAAAAAATTGTTTAATGTCAATAAACAAAAAATCCTTTATAATATTACAACAAGCAAGTAGATATTACAATTGAAGCTTCTACAAGCCTTACACATGGTCTAAATGTAGTTGTATGTACTAATATACTACACAATTTTTTCAAAACAAACAAATTGTAAACAATACTAAAGATCAAGAAGTTGTTGCTATGACATTGTCATTATTAAATATGTTTAGACTTTGCCAATGAATACAAGAACTACAATCTAAAAGATTAGCAAAAAAGTTTGTGATTTGACAAGATTGAAATAAATTAGCTGAAAATAGATAGATGGATTTGGTAATAGAAGCAATAAAAGAAACATTATCTAAATATATTTAATGAACATTTGTCAAGCATAATGGTAGTTCACTTGTGGTCTATGATTACATAATTGCATATGTTATATCACTAAGATTGAATAAAATATAGATGTATTCTTATATTGCAAGATCATGTACATAGAGTTCATAGAGATTGTAAGTTGTTACAATTTAGGTATCATTGAAATGATTTTTTTAGCAAAAAAATGATCCAAAGGACACTTTTTAAAAAACAAAACGAATATTTTGATGAACTAAGCTTATGAGTGCTATATTAGCTATCAAAATTTTCAAATCTTAATTCAATAGAATATTTGTATAAGCATCTTGAACATTGCTTGAATATTGAATCCATGTAACTATTTGAGATGTTAAGGTTGTAGTAGAGGATGGAAAAGAAGTAAGAAGAAATTAATTAGTAAGATATTTTTAATCTTTTAAATAATATATTATAATATATGAAGGTTGTTTTGAATACCAAAAGAGTATTAATAAAGTAATCACTTATGAGTTAAAAAATTATATATATTATTTCATCATTTTTTGATAATACAATCAATTACTATGATTCTTACCCTTGACATAAAAGTGATAATATTTTTTTATTATTTGAGCAATATGCTATTTAAAAATTATAAAAAAAAAATTACAATAAAATAATATGTGAAATAGATGCAAATATTAAGATAATATTTTGAGTCATTATAATTAATTTAAGACCTCTTGATTAATAAAAATTAACATATTGGATTGTCAAAAGAAATTTGTTAAAGCCACACCTCCTTGGTCATGTTATGATTAATTTAGTCCAATGTCACTCCACCTCATGCAATATACTCATAACTATGGCTCAATGCAAATGAGCTAGATCATCATCCTCCATGAGTATAGAAGTAGCATCATCAAGCGTGCTTGAGACTCTCTTTTATACAAGACTCTCCTCATGAATGCTAAATGCAACCCCATCTCCCTTTTTTCTTCTCTACTCCTCCATTCTACCTCACTCTTTATTCTTATCTTGCATCCCATTGATTTCTTTGTTTTTAAGTGAAGTCATTACTAGAGCAAGTTTTTGGAATCAAAACCCTAAATCTTTGTGTGATGATGATGTGAATAATTGACTATTTGTTTGTCAAATCACTGAAGGAGATCATTTCTTTAAAGCAACGATTTTGGATGTTAGCATGAATTTAGAAAGGTGCTATGCAAAAAGATCCAAAGGTCTACTAAATTCCATCCAAATTCCAAGGCACCTTTGGTCGGATTAATTCGAGAGATTTGCATCCTCTTGAAACTTCTTAATTGTCATTTACTCACCCATAAAGACAACTTGTTGTTTTGTACATGGAATGGATGCAATCTCTCTTTTAATATGAATCCAAACTTTCAGAGGCATCTAAGGCTTCATAAGAAGTAGGATTTAAATATACTTCAAGAAACCAAAGTGGAGGATAATGCTCACTTAACTTGTTTTGAACTAGGGTGTAGAAAAGTGTTCAAATATTTATCTATGCTGTAGACGCATATTGAGATTGTGCATGATAAGTTCTCAAAATTGCAAAATACCTAACTCAGCTTTATTAGGATGTGTTTGTAGTAAATGTCTTTTGTTTGTGAACTTTATATTGAAATGTTCAGATTGCTTGTTTGAGCAATTTATGCAAATTCTTTGCCAATCACTCAAGTAATGTGCTTGGAACCAAGTTATGGAGAAATTTTCAATAGCTTCTCTCAGTTAAAAGCACATATCAAGGTTGCACACTATTATGTTGCGTGTGAAACTTGTGGTGTATCCATGTTAAAAAACAAACTCAAATCCCACATCCAAACACACAAAAGAGTACAGACCTTGGTTCGATGTCTACACCCTCGTCGCTCGCATAGTTACACCAAGATATATGTGGGCGCGATTGTATACTTGTTTTTCTGTTCATTATTTTTTAAATGTTGTTGATGTGATGAACAATATTGTGGATTTTTAATATGTACATTAGTGTAGTTGTAGAGACTTTGTTTTAGGATTTGTCTTAAAAGAAGTTTCTTGGCTAGGTTCATTTTGTAAATTTAAGTTTATGCAGTGTGGTCGAAGATTTTCAATAGCTCGGAGGCCTTTTAACTCTCTTTTGAGTATAGGGGTAACTCAGGATCGGAGCGATTCTAAGGGTGGTCACTCCCGGATGGAGCGATTCCGGGATCGATTCCCATGTAACTTCAGCTTCATTAGCTCAGTTGGCTAGAGCACCCGCTGAGTTAGCGGGAGGTCCTGAATTCAACTCTCAGTGGAAGCAGTGACCATTTTTTTTTTTTCCGTAGTGACTAGAAAGTGCAGTGATGGGTGGTGTCCACGGAGCTTCGTGAGGCGGAGAATCATGTGCGTCACCAATCTAACATGCCACTCCACGTCGGATTCTCATCACGCGAAAACCAAACTACATTTGTCGGATCGGATCGCCGCGTAACTTCTTTTCCTCAAACCTGGAGATGTGCCTCCATTCTAAATTCCACATGTAGGTGCTGTTTTTACAGAATTCTGTGAAGATTTCTCATTCGAGAAAATCTTAAACAATTGCTCTTTGTTTGTGAGAGCATCGTCACTCTCCACCCGCTGCTTTTGCACACCCACATGAAGCACGGTAGAATGAAACAAGGAAACCGGTAGTCCAGTCACAACATGGAGATTCGTGTTTAACAGTCTCTCAACATTATCTGTTTCTCAGTTTGTTGATATTGTTACTCAGTGCTCAAATTGCAGGAAATATATGAAGCTGGGTCGCCGGATTTGGTTGCACTCGTGTCACCATTCATCGTGTTCAGCGTGTGGGAAGATCTGCTGCGTCATGTCTTTCACTGAATAGATGAAGGGGGATCACCATTCGCATGACCCGCATGCTTCAGGGAAGCCTTGTTTTCTTCAGCCCATATCCACCTTGGATGGTTCACAGGGATTTTGCGAGGCTACAGTTCGACTGTGACAAGAAGCTCATGGCTTACATAATGTCATGGAATCGGCACGCTCTTGACAATGGCTTTTGTTGAGGGGTGTTTTTTCAAGCTCGATCAGCTGTCGCAACTCCATGTTGTGTCAGAGGTTTGGGTCTATGAGTGCAGATGATTAGTTTGGTATCTGGTTCAAAACCAGTGCAGTGACTACGCACGGTGCGAATACCTTTACCAACGGTTAGTTACAATTTAGCCTTGTAATCACATCGCACAACACGAGAAACCCGTTCCCTTGAGGAAGAAATTGTACTCGGTACATGAGCTTGGATTGTAGAACTTTGGATAGATCTCGCTGACGATCATGTTTGCCTGTGCATGACTACCATCAGAAAGCATTTCTATGTGAAGAAACACAACCTTTGGAGGTGAGAGATTTAGATTGAACGTACTTCTGGGCACTTCGAGACAGAATCTGGTAGAAACTGCGTATATGCAACATGGGCGGAGAGTGTCAATTACTGAGATTGTAGAGTACTGCTGCGCGTGTCGCAGGAAGTAATCGACAGAATAGAGCTCGAAGACTTTCTGTAACTGTTAAGGATAAGAAACTGCGAGAGAAATTATGCATAGTATTGAAAGGTTTTATCAACGTTTGTGAGATTTAAATGTGGTTGTGATGAATTGCAGCAATGGCGGAGAACGGACACTACGACCATGACGTCAGCCACATTCCCCCGCCCTTGCATATGGATCGTGTCGCAAACCCCGCACCGTTGGGTCTTTTTGCAATTGCGTTGACGACCTTCGTATTGTCGTGCCACAATGCAGCCCTCTTTGGTACCTCGGTGGCAACACCCCCCAACGTCGCCACAGGTCTCGCTTTCTTTTATGGTGGCCTGGTACTGCTTCTGGCAGGAATGTGGGAGTTTAAGGCAGGGAACACTTTCGGTGCAACCGCATTTTCCTCTTATGCAGCTTTCTGGCTCTCTTACGCCACAATACTCATCCCCGGGTTTGGATTCCAAGAAGCTTTTGTGGGGGGTTACGAGAAGGATGCTCTAAATACTGTTGCGATTTTTCTTCTAGCATGGACCCTTTACACTTTCATAATGTGGCTGGGCACTCTCAAAGCTAACATAGCTTTGAGCGCCTTGTTCGCCTTTTTGACTCTCACTTTAGCGCTACTCACCATCTCCGACTTCATGCATGCCCACGCAGGCTTAAAAAAGGTACATACTCCACTACATCTAAGTATTTTTTTGTTCAGTACGAGTCTTTTGAATTCATAGATGCTAAATCTCCTGTGTTTTGGTCACGTCCACCGACTCAACCACAGTGGTTTCTAATTCCAGGCTGGTGGATTCTTCGGCGTGATTACTTCCCTTATCGCGTGGTACATGGGCCTTGCTGGACTTTTAACCCACGAAAACTCCTACTTCACACTTCCTGTTGGAAATCTCAGCAAACATTAGATCGGCGTAGCTGGAGCTCGAGTGTGTGCAGGAATTTGACGCCTTTCAGTTTTTGACCGGGATAAGTTCAGATGGCCAAATAAGCTTCTTACTTCAGACATATACTTAGTGTCTTGCAGATGACAATTTAAAACAGAAATTCGTCTCAATACCATCTAGTAACAGCTAATTTACGGAGTGTATACTGTAGCACGAAGCACTGGTTAGGACGTGCCAGGGCTTTATTGGACAGCGAGTGTGGTGCTTAGCTGCACGAACTTGTAAGTCAACCATCATTGATCTATGCAACTGAGCGCATTCTATCCTCTGTTTGTTCAATAGTTGTTTAAAATGTCTGTGTTCCCGTTACTTTTTGAGTTTCTTGCACACATCCAAGCGAACAGGACTAAAGTTGGTGAGCAGAGTGATAGAATTTACGAGAAGGTGAACACATGTTCCCGCAGGAGACGATATTTTGCTATCGTTTTTTTCACTAGAGTCACGACAGGTGTCTAGGACAAGGCTTCACATACATCATCAAATTACACCCCGATAGCCAAATGAAATTACAGCAGCAGCACTAGCAAAAATGAAATTAAGTTGCCTCAGTTGTGGGAAATGGTTGAAATTGTAGGAAAGTTCACTACTCGAAAGGGAACGTGAGATCTCTCTCATAGAAGTGGTGTCGTAATTCCTAAAATTGGTTACAGAGAACGGAAGTGCGAAAAAACTACCGAGATCGAATTCAGACGTATAATCGGCTGAAGTGAGAACTTCACTTCTCCAAGAACTACTCGTTTCTCTGATATTGAACTGTTTCTGAAAAGAACTAGCAGAGACGACTAGCAGCTGATCTGTGAGCGATAGAATTAAGCACAAGAAGGTTCAACTTCTTCCAGACAGTATACGGTATTCGAGTTCCCGAATGTGCATCAATTGGTTCATTTTTTATTTCTTTTGAGAAGGACAAGGGTCAGTGCAATCAGCTGGGGATACCTCTGTAGCTTTGGAACCAGCACATCCACATCTTGCATGGATACAATACTTCTATTTCAAATCCATCGCTGCAAGTGGAGAATATATCCAGAATGTACTCTCCACTCTTGAGCAACAGTAGAATATGCAGACCTACATTCTACATTCAGTGAAAAAAAATGACGTTTCCAGTGAATCTGATGCGCAGGATTGAACAGGTCCTAGCTATTGTCGAGCCATAGACTTAATAATCTACTGTGATCACTTCTCTCGACATCAATTTTGAAACTCTTCTTTCATGTACACATTACTTAGAGGATGTAACGGGAACAGGTGACAGTTTAAACTGCTTCAGCATGTCTCAATGAACTCCAAGACCACACATATCTAAGCTATTACATTTCAACTCAACACCACATTGAATTCAATGACAGCATTCTGTGTAGAACTACGTGCGATCTACAATTGACAATGACCAACTCTTCAAAGAAGAGAACAGATTAAGACACTTCTGAGCAGGGTGATGCAAACCGTAATCTCAGTAGAGACAAGATTCAAACAATCTGAAAACGAACTATCGCCTAACGGATGCAATCTTCTAAAAAGTAAAGTACTAGAATACAACTACAAAACTCAATTCAATCATAGCTGAAACTTGTAGGACGTAACAAAGGAACAACAGATTAAGTATTAAACAAGATAAGGCTTCATCATTGTTTTACAACCTTTGCACGACCTTCCGTACCGACTCTCTTCCCAGCCTCGTTGAATAATCAAAATTCCTGCGCAACAACCTCTATAAATTGAATGCTAAAGTGGACGTAAAATTGCAAAAGTAGTGCAAAATGTAGAAGAACTAAAATTATCTTCAGATCCCGGTTATGGACGAAAGTACCTACGTCATTGTTGCATCAGCATCCCGAACTTGCAAGAAGGTTTGTACCATTGCAGTGTGACGTCCAATGCTCTATCTCTTCCTAAAGCCTCTATGCTTTGAGCCTCCCTACAAAGAAAGCCATGCTTTGCAAATAATGTTTTCACATCTACTATGAATTAGGTGAAGACCATCCTCTTATTTCTTGACCTTCTTATTCTTGTTCAATATCTTCGGGTTCTTCGAAGAAACCTTGAAGTTTTTCTTTTCCATCCTGTTTCCTGTCTTTGTAGTAGATTCTTTGGTCTTCTTAAAGCCTTCAGACTTTACCATAGGCTTCTGAGAGGGCGACTTGCTTGATTGCTTCTTATCTGCGGCTCCAGTCGCTGGAGTAGTCTCATTCGACTCAGAGTCACGGGGTTTAAACTTCCGCTTCTGCACTTTGGGAAGACTCAGCATCCATGCTGGCACGTCACCTCCAGAAGAAAAGATAACGTAAGCAACAGAACGTAACAGAGGCACATCATCCTCCGTATAAAACGTTACGGCCTCTCCTGCCCTTCCTGCTCTTCCGCTGCGACCTGACAATTTGAAATTGAACACCGCGTGATAAGATATAATACCCAAGGGCAACCGTTCTCGCAGTATCAAATTACAAAGTCGCACTCAAACTAGTTCAGAGCTTAAGCATAGAACAACCACAGAAACAGAGATTATAAAAAATCCATGCTGAGTGTGTATCTAACAAACCAACTTAATACTATATACAATAGATCACAAGTATCTAAGCTTAGAGCTATAGATTAGAATCCGTGCAACATGTGCGTCTGTGTGCGTGAGTATTTCAAATCTCAAACATCATAGAACTTCACTTACCAACACGATGAATATATGATGAAATTGAAGGCGGGAAGTCGTAGTTTATGACACAGTTCAGACCCTTAAAGTCCATCCCTCTCCCCATCAGATCTGTAGCAATAAGCACCCAAGTCTTCCCCTCTCGAAATCTCTCAACTGCAGCATCTCTCTGTATTTGACATCGCACACATTAATACAGGCATTTCAAAAAACGTATTAAATTCAAGAACCGCCACATCATGAAACAAAGCATAACTAGCCAAACAGACCATCAAGCTACTCTGGAGATTCACATCTAGGAACTCAATCAAGAAGTTCTTAATTTACAAACTCTCAAAGCCATGAAAACTATTGACTATATTGAATCTGCAAACGAAAAGAAATTAACTAATAGCAGTAAGAAAAGCAAACCTGAGCTTGAGTGCGATCAGCATGAATACTATCAATGCTGAGATTATCAAAAGCCAACTGTTTATGGAGCTCTGCTGCTCGCTCCTTACTTTTAACAAAAATCAAAACTGGGGGCCGCAAACTCTGTAAATTAAATTGTAGCGTCAGAAAACCTTCACGAGCATATGAATTTATGGCAACGACACAAGCACCAACAGTAATCGACGCACTAAAAATTTGATCAAAACATTCCAAAATGGTAGCAGTTGAACGTCACAACCATACGCAAACGGGGAGAACAATACCTCATTGAATATCTGGCGTAAAGCCAATATCTTTCCTTCCTCGCTTCCAACAAAGACTAACCTTTGACGGACTGTCTGTGAAGCAGAGTTCCTGAATAATCGATATACAAGAGATAAACACATGCATCTTTGCGCTTCACAGTAGGAATTGAACAACTGACACAAATGAATATTTTGCCAAGCATTCCGACAAGGATAAAATTATTTGTACTATTTTGAAACAACAGCGGCGTCAGACTACTTACATGAAGCTACCTACGAAAGCAAAGAAACTTTCATTTAAAAACTAACAAGCAAACATACCAATTTGAATTGCTCCAAATGTTCATACCTCTCTCCAATTGTGATGCGAATAGCATCATGCATGATAGAGCGAGCAAGCTCTTCCACTGTGTCTGGTAAGGTAGCACTGAAAAGGGTACGTACGATCTTTGGGTTCGTACAGGCTGCTACCACAGAATCGATTTGTTCGACGAACCCCATCTCAAACAGTTTATCTGATTCATCCAATACCAAAAATTCCACCCTGCATTAAACAAATCATACGGTTGTTAAGAACTAGTAACCAAGCCAGTACAGAGACGTCTAAAAACCACAAGCAGTCAAATGCAAGCTGCGTAGATGTTAACAGATGAAAACTACTATACGTCTTGGAGAGACATGGAAGTCTTACTTGCTCAAATCAATTTTTGATCCCTTCAAAAGGGCATCCAACCTTAAAGGAGTGGAGACAAGAATATCACAAGGCAAATTAGAAAAATCATTGCACAAGGCCAATGCCTTGGTCATGACCCTAACTCGGAATTTGGTTCCAACAGTGAGTTTTTTAAGCTCTCTTGTTGTCTGCAAAGCAAGCTCTCTAGTAGGACATAACACAAGTGCACGTAATCCCTCTTTGCTAGGTACCTGAAAAGGATACATCATCAAAAAGTACACTACATGAGCTTTAAGCAGTTTACAACTACATACGATTTGAAGTGCTACACATGCTGTTCACTGGAAACAAGTCAACTGTAAAATAAGAGTTAATGAAACAGGTATTCTTACCCTTAACTTCATTAGAATTGGGAGCGAGAAAGCCAATGTTTTTCCTGAGCCTGTGGGTGCACAGGCAAAGCACTCCCGTTCCTGCAAGTCGAAGTGACATACACAAGAAATACACAACACACCATCATTATGAAAAACACGGCTCGAGCTGCAGCAACACCTCAACACAAGGCAGCCACTAAAAGATTAATTGTTCACAGGTAACGCCGAGAACATGTAAAACGAGAAATTTGATACATGCATGAGCAAGTAGCTTGCCACCTCAAGCAATGCAATCTTAAATAAATAAATAAACCAAGATATATTAGTAGGGCTTGCATCACGCTACAGATTTACAAGAGCAGAACAAACCGAAATGGAAGCTAGAGAACGTACTGCTAGCAAGGTAGTGATAGCTTGGCGCTGAATAGGTGTTGGTTCAGTGTATCCAGCTTCTTTAATGTTCTTCATTAGGTACTTTCTACATCGGTACTGCGTCCGCAGCTGCTCAAATGCAACAAGTGGAGCTGGAACGTCTCGACCAGATACATGAATCTGATATTTCTTCCTAGACAATCCAACGACCTGAAATGTGATCGGCAGGTAAGCTTTTGAGAAATGCGAAGTTGGAAACACAGTGCAGTTAAAATAAGTTCACTAAAGAGTGAAAAGATTCTGAGTCCTAATAAATGATTCCTAAATAGGCACAACAACAGATCAAATCACCGCAAGTATCAAATCGACAACAAAAAAGAGAGCGAACTATACTAGCCAGTAGAACCTACGCACACATGATGTGGAATGTAAATTCTATCAGCAATAGGCAGTAGTTCCTTAAATTGGCACAATAGGTGCAGTGTTTACCTCTGCTTCCGGCAATGCTCCCTGCGCAGGTTCTGGTTCTTGATCATCCTGGTCAACTTCAGAAGTCTCAACAGTTTGAGATTTTCTGCGCTTAAACAGATTAAAAGTGGTTTCTGATTCTGTACAAGTACAAAAAAAATCCACAAATTTGCATCAGGGAGAAGGAATCAGGCTCAGCATATCCGGCTTCAGGCGTCTACAGGAAGTTCCCATACTGTTTACGAATAAACCTAAGTCACCTATGTTCGAATACATCGTCCGATACTCAATGATCATCTCAACAAAATCAGCCGCTAATGCGAACACAATATTCACCGATCTCTAGATAGTATTCTATCCATTTTCTACACGGTGCAAGTATCAAATTAAGCCCCTAAACATACCGTTCTCTTTATTTTTTCTCTTCCTCTTCTTGCTTTGAGTGTTGCTTTCAACACCACTCTGAGAAACTGCTGCCGACACCGCGACCTCTGAATCCTTTACGCTAATATCGTCTTTCTTCGGCTGCGGCAAACACCCATAAAGTATGAAACTCGCTCAATAAACCTTAGAATACCACAAGAAGGAAGGCGATTGCGCGATGCATATGCTGGACTAGGAATTTTCCACCCAATTCCAATATTTCTTCCACAAGTACAATTAATAGTTTCTCCAGTTATGACAGGAATCACTACCCAAAAGCCTTGACAGCTTTTTAACACCAATCAAAACTGTAGAACTCCCACAAACTCATTCCACTCCAAATATCATGATGCGACCCACACCTCAGGCTCCGCACAGATTGCACGTCGTCGTGAAACTAACGTCTAACCACCATAGCACGAGCATGCCCAAAACTAGGTAAACCTAATTTCTGCAACCAATTCCAGGAATCTCATGCTCGACGCTGCAATCTAATAATCGCGAATTCCTAATGACCCACGAGCACACTCACCCGAAATCGATTAACGTCCGCAGCGAACTTCTTCGTATTCAAGCGAACACCGGCGAAGAGAAAAGATGGGTCCATCTTCACTATAACGTAACAAAACTACAAAACCACGCGCGCCTGTAGAGCGCTTCCACAAGTGCCTACACTCAAGGGGTCATGGTCGCAGAGGTCGCAGTGGCTAATCTTCTTCGGGGAGGAGATGTTTCCAAGAGCACCCTTAAACCCTAAACCCTGGCTCCTACCGTATGCCGTGAATTAGACGAAGGCATCCCTAAATGAGGGAATTGGGCCTTCCCCTATTCTCGCGCACTAAATTCTCCGTTTCCTTCTTGTGGGTTACATTCGATGTTCCTTAATTTGGAACGATTTTTTAGGGTTCGAGGAATTGTAACACACACACGCCGGCACTAACATTCTCGTGTCCTTTTTTTTGTTAGAAATAAACATATATTTATTTTCCACTCATGTTTCTAGTAATCAATGCTAAAAGGAAAAAAATACATATAACATATATAGAGAGAGAGAGAGAGACATGGTGTGAAGAGTGTACATCATCTCAAATTCAAACAGATTCTCTGAGGAAGTGCAATACTAAGGTGTACTCTTTAGTGATGGAAATACTTCTAAAGCTTTTTTCATGAAGCTTTGGGGATTCGAGATAATTGTTCTTCTCTGAGTTTAATTCTACGTTTGAGCCCCTGTGGTGTAGATCAACAAGATAACACATAGCACAATGATACTTATAAGGTTTTTATTTCATATCTTTTTATTTTTTAAAAACTTTGAAGACTTCTTAATGTAGCACACAAATTAACCTTGATACATATATATATATATATATATATATATATATAAACTTAACAATGAATTGATAAATAAAACATAGTGGGTTTTTTTATTTTTCTGTATTTAGTAATAATTTATATCATTATAATATGTTGCTTTGGAAGAGCGTTGGATGTTGTTGTTTAATCAACTCTGAATCATAAAAGAACAAGAATTGCATGTAAACATTTGAGATCTACTCGAAACTTAGATGAGGACCATGCAGATAATGAAAAAAAGTCAAGCTTATTTTTCCACACACAATGACAATGTTTCTAAATCATATAAATTATTGCTGTATTCTCTCGCCATTGTCAAGCAAAGAGATGCATGAAAAACAAGACCAACAATGTAACTATTAAAATCTCGTGCAACCATGATTTCCATTTCAACATTCAAGATATGTAAAAGAATATTAAATTTTAATGTCTAGTCTACTAACATACAATCCCTAAATTTAGCATATTTTTTATATAACAACAAATGAATTGTGCTACATCATTAGAACTATTCTGAGTAGAACACATTTGTGAAATCAAGAGACTTCTGTTCTTTTGATATCATGTATCCAATGACAGTACAAATATTTGAAATCTAATTTGATGACAATCAACAAATTTGTCTACAAAAAAAATTATCTCATTCATCACAATTATACTTGCAACATGCTTCAACAGAAGAAGAAGATAAATAAACAAATAAATAAATAAATAAATAAATCTATTTTTCTATGTCTTCTATTCTTGTAGGGGCATTTTCTCTTCTACGATTTGTATATACCATTATGATTATGACTGTTCTCAATATAACAATAATAAGTAAAAATATAAACTACATGATTAGGAAAAAATAATCATGAAAAAATTATAAAATATTTGTTACTCAAGCTTTAGGGTCTCCAAGCAAGCATAAGACAAAACTTTGTGACAACTGCAACCAACACCACATGCTGATCTGTAAATGAGCTAATTTATTACCAAAATTTGGAATTACATGACCTCCAGTCCAATACTACTCTATCCCAAGGTTCTACACCCAATAATACTACACTCATTCTGCTAATTCTTGACTGTCCACCATGATATTTCTCCAATCCTTAAATACTCTACTTCCTTGGTATGTATTCAAGAGGTGCCTTTCACATTTTGTGGCAGCACAGTCAATGTTGCTCTTATCTTCCCGCTTGTTGCTCTGACCTTGTGCCATTTGATCACTCTAACAAATTGCTATGGCAAATAACAATATTTTATATATTTATATACTTAAAATACCTTACTCAATTTAATGCCCTAGAATTTGACTTCCTGACAATGTTTAGAAACACGAGTCCATTTCAACAGAGGTTTATGTCAAGGGTCAAGTAAATTCTGTTCTTATGATTTGATTGTTATAGTTGTACACATCATGTATTTTTTTTATTTTGACAAAGACAGATGCATGTGTGTATGTGTTTTCAAGTATCTAAAGTGCAATACATCAATCCATGTATATTAAACGTGCACTGCCAATACATGTGATTATATATAATAAAAATAAAGGTATATCATCCCCAAAAAGAATGCCCCAGATCCAAGTAGTAATAGCGCTGATTGAAAGAGTAAAATGCAGAGATTGTTGTGTTCTCGGTGACACTGGCTGGCTAATTGAAGATCCACAAACTCTTCGAAGCCAAGTCACTTCAGCCACTGCCTGAACGCCACGTTTTCACTTTCGCTATCCAGTCCTGCCGAACACATGGGCAGAGTCAGCAGCGGAATTGGCTTGCGAGCCGTGTTCCCGAGAATATCTAAGAGGTCCCAGTCGACAGTTCCATGTGGAACTGTCCTCCAGGGTCGGGATTTCGCAGTGCCCGAGATTTGCAACGGGAGGAGCTCCGCCATCGCCATAGCTGGGTGCCGCTGCTGTCAGCTGGGTCGGTTCGGAAGCGTCTGTGGCCATGGCGATGGCCATATCTGCTGCTGGTGCTGCCACTCGCACTGCCAATATTGCCTTAGTGCCTCCGCAGTCGCTTCTTGCTCGCGCGCATGTCCAGTGTACCGTGATTGGAGCAGTCTGGAAGCAGAGGAGTGGACCCGTTTCGGCGCAGTTCTGTGCTGCACCTCGAAAGCCGCCTCTTGGTAATCTTCGTGATCAATTTACGTTTCTCGATAGTTCTTCACATTTGTATCATCTTGAGGTTCTTTGTGGAGGTCGATTCACTTCCGACAGGTATGGGCTGAAATGATTCGCTTAGAATTTGACTGTTGTAGATTTTGTTGTGCTTAAAATTTGGTGGGATTTCAGTGTACATGAGTGTGACTATCATAATACGTTTAAATTTGGTTACATTTTTTTTAGTTAGTTGTATTTTTGTACTGTGAATGAAGTCGTTTGCGGTAACCGATTGTCTTACATCATCGCATTCGTGGTGTCAACCTGTCTTGGCCTAGGTGCTTGTAACAAATGTGTGCCGTTTGTGCATCCTTCAGTATGTTCGCTATCAGTCTCTGAACTGCATTGCTTCCTTGGAATTGCACCGCATGAGCACTGGCGCTCAGCACGACAGGTTCTAGTCCACGCTCAAGCCGAGGAAACAGAAGAAATGGACGCAGCAGAGGACGTAGACATTTGTGAGCTCGTGAATGGTTTCGACGTCCAGATCGGTGACGAAGGCGAAGTGTCGGGCTTCTATATCCAGGCACTCAAGAATAATAATGGTGCTGGAATTCTCCTGTTGCCGGATATTTTTGGTTGGGAAAGCAGCGCTACACGAGATATTGCTAACCAGTTAGGCTGCTTTGGTTACAAGTACGACTCGCACACCTTTCTCCATTTTATTTCCACGCTTAACCCTCTCGATTCCCGACAATCTGCCCAAAATATGACATGATCTGTACTTTTTGACACATTTTTGTTGTGATGCTGGCAGCGTGTTAGTTCTTGATCTCTTCCGCGGAAATTCATGGAAGGAAGGCGTTTCACAGGCCAGCGGAGATTTCGAGGCATGGCGCAGCAGCCATACCAACATCGCCAAGGACATTGATGCGGCGTCTCGGTGGCTGAAAGCCGCCGTCGATGAACAAGGTCATGCCATCGATCCAAACAGCAAACCCAAGTGTGCTATCGTAGGGTTTTGCATCGGCGGAGGGCTGGCCATCCAAACCATCGCCAGATACGGCTCCATTACGACTGAAGAAGAGGTTCCCAATCCATTCTCAGCAGCAGTGTCGTTCTACGGCACACGGATCAATTTGCAACCAGAGCAAATCCGGAACATCAAATCTTCCCTCATGATGATCACTGGAGACCTCGATCCCAGTTCGCCGGTACAAGGGTGTGAGGATATCGTCGCCCTGCTCGATGATGCTGAGGTCGTTGTGTATCCTGGACGGGGCCATGGATTTGCGCACAGGCCTAAATCTCTGGAAGACGACGAGGCGGCGGAGGTTGCGTTCAGCACCATGATGAAGTGGCTCAAGAGGAGGTTGCTCACCGCTTGACACTCCTGGTTGACTATTGACCCTTCTTGTTCATAGCATACTACCCTTCATTAAATCTACTGACCCCGTTTCGGCGATCTGTATATGAAGTTAGGTCGGTGTCGGTGAGTGAGGACATCTAGTGCATCGTGAAATCGAGAATTCTTGCGGGGCCCGCGTTTTTGGCTTTGCTGCACATTCCCCACCCTCCATCATCCTTTGTTCACAGTGTTGATTAATGACTTGTGAGAAGATCATTTCTTGGAGAGTTTGTTCCAGTGACCAAGTCTTGTTGATGATGTATGTTCTCATTCGCACTGAAAAAGCTTGGTTCAAATTTCAATTATGTAGTTTATTAAAGTGTAGTTGTGGAATCTTGTATCAGTAGGTACATCTACAGATAAAGAAATGTAGATTATGTGTATTTACAATAGAAAAAATCCACTTATCAAGCTAAAAGATTGTTAGAATCATTTATTGCTATTGAAGCATTTCACAATACAAAACATTGGTTGTAGATTTTCCATTTGCACAGCAAACAAATACATTTCTAACATGTGTCTTTTAAGAAAGAGTGATATAAAGGTGACCATGGGTGATGACAAGTTCATGAAGGTGCACACCAATTGTGTTTTATAGTTTGCCCTTATGCTTTATTGATTGTCATTGTAAATGCCAATTGAACTAAGATTTGACATTGTATAAGTGTTGTATAAGTGTGAAAGAGAATCTATTTCCTTGCAATATAGTCATAATTTGTAAAATGTTTATATTCTTATTTGCATGAGCACTTCTAAGAATATGAGCAACAAGACTTGGTCATACTTGGTAAGATAAGGGTGTCAAGAAATTATATTCTATATATCATATCTTGTTCATCTTTACTTGTAACAATATCTACAAACAAAAACATGTGTTGGTGCAAAGGGATGTGATTGACAATGATTGTGTTAACATGTTTAATATCAATGTTTGTAGTTGTCAAAATTTTATGGTTGTCAATGTAATCATGATCAATTGCAAATTCCATACCATTACCAATGTACATGATATTCTCTACAAAGAGTCAAGAAGTAGGATTTGACTTAAGTCATATATTTTTACTTAACTTTAGGAAGCAGATTATAGGCCAAAATACCAATAGCTTCAAAGAAGTTGAGACAATAGAAGTCCACATGCTTTGAGGTACAACTAGAGGGAATTGATAGATATTTCCACCAAATGCAACTATCTTTTTGCCAAAGATTTTGTCAAGGATTTGTATAAGGTTTTGCAAATTGCAATCCATAACTTTGGCATAGTAGTAATGTTATGCAAGTGCTTTGTCCTAAACAATGTGCTTTGTCCCACAAATGATCTTAGCAATATTACTTGTATGGATAAAATTGTATATTGATTTCTAATTATTGTCAATAGAAATTTTGGAGATAAAATGTGATCTTTGTCCACTATTTAGTAGAATGATTATAATTCCTAAAGATGCAATTGCAATTGCAACTTCATTATTTATATAAATAAAGGCAAGAAGCAAATTGTATAGTGACGTTTTTCTCTATCCACCAAGACAATGAAAGGAGAAGACAACATAATCTACATTTTGAAGAATATTTTGTCACAACAATAAATGTTTTAGTCCATTCAATATTTTAACACAATATGTCTCTATTAAGCAATGCTTGCATATATTTGTAATCATAAGATTGTTTTGCTTGGAAATGTAGATTCTCACAACCACTTATTATAATTTTTGATATACACATTTTTAGAAAATTATACAAATGTTTTATAAAAAAAAAAAAAAAACTTTTGTTCAACCAAAAGAAATACATATATTGCCTCTGCATATACTATCTAATTCAAGAATTACCTCACAATGTTCTCTAGGCCATCCAATACATGTCCAATTTGTGAAACATGTTTTCTACATATGCATTACATGGCCAACTTATAAAAAAAGTGGTCAACATATATAAGATATTGCCAACTTTATTGGCTAAGTTTACAATCTATCAATCACCTACAAACACTTTGCATCAATGAAACGTCTGAGAAGCTTTTCCACAAAATATTATCAAATTTATATACTTTTACTTCTACCTAACTCCTCTTATCATGTTAATTACTAATGCAAATGTTGATGTTTGTGATAGTGAAATACACATGTATCTGTTGGTGTGGCCTCATTAATGTTATCAAAGTCTTGACTTAAACTTTCCACATTTGAAACTTGCTTGCAATGTTTGAGATTTGTTGGCCGATTTTGCACAAGCAATAGCTTGCAGTGATGAGTTCAGTTGTGGAGGTCTCTTGCAATGTAGCTTGCTTTTAAAATGACATGTTGAGATTGTGTGTTATTGCTTTTGTGGCGTGAAGAATAGGGATAAGTGCCTATGGTCTTCCCCGTGTTTTGCAGGGAGAGTCCCATTGAGGGCGCCGTAAGTTTGCTGCTTCATATCGATACTCCGCTTGTGATGACGCAATTATAGTGGCGGTCATTTGTAAAATCCCTGAGAAGGCCTGTCGAACAGGCATAGGCATACTGTGCAAGATGGGCTCTCACAGTGTCCATTGTGCCTTTTACAGATCTTACGGACAAGTCTGTCAAGACACTACCGAGAGAATTCTTGCTAAGAACAATCCTCGCAGGTGGGTAAGCTTGCTTCCTTGTAAATGGTCGATTTGACGCAGTTGTAGTTTCTGGAATCCTTAGTCGTTTGTAAGCATGGATGGGGCAGAACGGCTGTAAGCTGAAAACCCACCCTTCTGCTTTTGTGTCCATCTGCGTGCGTTTCCGCTCAAATGATATCATCTTTATTTGCATCTTGAATAGGTGTTCTCACTTTCCAAGTTCAAGTAACCACCGTATGTAGAAAAAGGAGGACAAAATTTTACCAGTTTTTATTTATTTATTTATTTATTTTAATTATTTGCTTTTCAATATTGTTTTGGTTTTCTTCCTGCTTTAGAATTCTACGAGTCTGAATGTAAGGGAAGGTTATAGCTGGTTCACGTAATCAATGTTGTGGTGACAGTGGATTTGAATCATTCCTTGTTCCATGTTTGTCCGATTGGTACGATCTTCTCATGAATTCCTTCAGAAAACCCAATGTCCGCATGTTGTGCATATAAGAACTTCTGTTTGTTTTTAAGGGACGATTGGTCTTGATTTGCAGGTATGTGGGATAGCCAAGGCTTGGATCAGTGATTGAGTTGTCGAGAGATACGGCGAGCTTAGAAGACAAAGCCAAAGACGTCAGCCTTCCTTTGTTTAGACTTCCTGTAAGAAGGATGTTGTAACAGTGCCTGCTGTTGGTAGTTTCTTGGATGAGAGTGCAAAATCCTAGAACAAGACGATTTGAACTTACAAGGGTGTGCTGCATTCGCTCCTTTACGGAGATCCTGACGACAATGATGTAATGATACTGAGCTTATTACATTATTAGTTTTTGGTTGGATTGCAACGAAAGTCTTCAACAGCAAAAGATTCTACATTCCTCATGCTTTTAGGTTTAAGTCTGGAGGTGTTGGGGGCCTCGTGCAGGTCATGGGTCGATTTATTAATTGCTCGGTTTTTTGGAATCTTTTCTAGGACTTTAGCACTTCCACGTCAGCTTTCGACTAGAGGGCCTTACCCCTCTATTTGATAGGCAACAAGAACAACACTATCCTGCTGAGCTATGGTTCGTCAGACATCTAGCTCGACAGATGAGGGCTACTTGTTCGATTAGGATAAAACACTTGATTGTCACATACGGAATAGATTTTGAATAGCAACTGCAGTCAATATATTTTTTTTTAGGATTTATGTTTCCAGTTTTGATCTGAGTAAGACAATTTATTTGGAAATGCTTGTAGACGTGGGCTTTATTGAGGGTTATGATTTGTGACAGATATTAACAGTGAGACAATGGAGGTGCAAAGAGCTGGTAATCTTCTGACCAAACAACGCCTGAAGTTGCAAATGAAAGTGAAGTATGTTACAACAGGCGGGTATGATTTGTGGCTTGCTGGATTGTTTATGTGCTATCTACCTTGGTTTTCAATATACTTTTCATAAGCAGTGAGTTATGGAGTATCATTAGTTGTTGATCAATAACTGGTGGTGGCATATAGAAAAGCATGTATCAGTATTCTTACTTCAGCCTGAACTATATAAATGTGATTCCCATCACGTCTAATTCAGCACTTGTGCTTGTGCCAGAAAGGCTAGTACAGAATGTGTGGCTCATTACTTCAAGGTGATGGTTCAAAGCAAGAGCCTCTTTGCATCAAAATTTGTGGGGGCATCAATTAATGCTGTTTTGACTTGAGTTTCAATGTCAACAAAAGGTTGGTTCAAATTGGTTTACAGCAACCCCTTTCACAGCTATAATTCAATTTGGACATAAAGAATTTTGTGTTTGAAAAACTTGGGATAAAAATCATAATTTTATCGTAGGAGAGTTAAAATTTAAAATAATGATGTAATTTGAGGTGTTGGAAAAATAATGTAATGAAAAATGTGCTTGATTGTTTGAAATTGAGTCTGATCAATTATGATTGAAATGTTCATATGATTTTTTTCACAGTGGTAACATTTGAAACCCATACAAAAAAAACGGAGTGTATTTTTTACATGAAATGTACAGACGTGTATCTGAATTTTTATTAGATGGTTTATGTTTTAAAATTGCCCCATATAATTTGAGTGCATGAAAATGTATTCCATGTAGTAAAAACACATGAAAAAGGAAAAGCGGTGCCATCTAAATATGATTTTATGTCTTCCCAACATTCAATTTTCTTTTTATATCTATATCTCTCTATATATAATTATAAATAGATATCCAACTTATCATCTACATCTCAAATAACGGAATGCATGGAAAATTCATTTATGGAATGCAGACTTCAAATATCGATTTTGAATACTTCAAAAAAAATCCAAGTTCTGTAATAGACAAGTTTTTACAAAACACATATTCTTACGAAGTAATATTTTCAAAGCCACTACATTTGACCAAACAAAGAGGTACAAAAATGACATATCCTCCCTCGCCACGTACTTAGCCTCATTAAAAATCAGGGGAAAAGAAATACTTGAATCAAGGGGCAGGAGACGAGGGGGGGAATTATCGCTGTGCCCGGAAGTGGTGGGGGCAGGAGACGAGGGGGGGAATTATCGCTGTGCCCGGAAGTGGTGGGGGCAGGAGGGGCAGGCTAATTAAAAAAAATGGGCACTGCCCTCGTTGCAGTGACGAAGACTTTATCTTCGACAGTGTTGTTCTTCTATAACTTTTCAGAGGTTGTTTTTCGTCGTCCTCGGCGTGGTCGTCGCCCTTCTTCATCATCTCCTTTGTCGTTCTCCGACCCTGGCTCCATCTCCACAACGAAACTCTCTCTCCATCCTTGGCCGCTCTTTGTCCATCCTCTGTTTCATAAGATTCCTTCGCACTACACGCCCCGCTCCTAATTTTTCCTCCCTCCCGTTTTTTCTGTTGCTCCGGGCGTTACTCACTCTCGCGCCTGTTGCTCCTAACACATACTTGCTTGTGCAATAGACAAGCCAGAGCTTCGTTTCGTTCCTTGAAGGTTGGGGGAGAGTGTCGCGGGCGTATTTCTGTGTTTCAGGACTTCACCCTAGGTGTGTGCTGATCGAGGAGAAGGGGAGTTTGTTGGAGGTGAAATGGAATAATTGTGAAGGATTGGTGGAGTTAATGGTTTCGAGAATTTCTTATTTAGGAGGGCGGTAGAGCGGGTTGTTTGTTTTGTGAAGTTCAGGGGTATTTAGAGAGAGTTTGGAAGTGTTGTTACGGCTTTTCTTTTCTCCTCCCGCTTGTGATGCTTAAGGAGGTTTTTGTGAAGGAGGAATGTTAATGTTAGGGTTTATGCTCTGATTCAGCTCGCAGTGAATGAGTGACGTAGGGTTTGCGCTTGAAGTCAGAGGGGTGTTGGTGGTCTCCTGCGAGCTCTTGGTGACCTTGTGAGCTTTTCTGGTCATTGCCGGTAGGTTGCATCCTCCTGCGCGGTTGTTTTGTATCTTCACTTTATTTGTGCTGATTTCTTCTTGCAACGGAGACTTGTGAGCAATTTCTTTTTATTTCGTTCCAGAACTCTGTTCTAAGCTCTTTGATAGCAATGGCGCGCTTTAATGCTGGTCTTTGGTGTGATTGTGCTTTCCAACCTGTTGTAGTTTGCATTTCGATTTGGTCATCTTGATTCCTAATCTCATCGTTGAAGGTGATGTAAGGCCACTGTGAATGTTTGTGATGGAGATTGTTTAGTAAGGATACTCGGTATGCTTATCCTTTTTCAAACAACGGGGAATGATACCGAACACATTCAATATGGCGGTTCTTGGTTGTTAACCTCGACTGAAGCGATTGAAGTTGTACGCTTTCTTGAATTAATTTTTTTCATTTAAACTTCTACGGAGTCTGAGCGCTGGAGTCGAATGTGGTGCAGTGTTAGCTATGGTGCCGAGAGAAGTTATTAAATTATCGAAATGCAAACTAGATGCTTGATTACCGCTCGTCCAACATGTACTATCCTCTTCGCCATGAATCTAATGCCAACAAAGAGGTATGTATTTAGTACCACGGGTTTCCTTTAGCTGAGTTCATCATTGGTGTAGCGCCTCTATTCAAATACATATACAGAGCACTGTATATCTTTCTACCATCTTGCATTTTCAATTCTGGCAATTATCTTTCTTCTCAAGTATCCAATGTAGTAGGTCAATTGTTGATCTCCTCTAGCATTGTTTATATGCAGTCTATGCTAAACGGCTCGGCTACGTCATTGCTTGATGGCTCTGCAAACACAGCTAGACCCTTTGGAGCTTCTTCTTTCACGTCACAATCAGGAACAACGCCTAATTTTAACCACACAGGTAAATTCTCCCCGTGGCGTATATATGTCTTTCTGAAGATGAAGTAGTACACTTTCAGCTTCTTACAGTTGTCTAACCTTGGTTAATTCTAATTGCAGCAAATCTGCAAGGAGTGCATAATCAGGGTATTTACAATATGCAGACTATGCCAAATGGATTATCCTCTCGGAACACAGGTTTTGGAGGACCTTCGAGTGGTACTCATCAGTCTGGTGGTAGCTCGGCTTCTGGCCGATTCTCAACTAATAGTTTGGGTGTTGGTCTCTCTCAGGTGATATCTCCTTTCAATTTGTTGATGATTTGGGTTGTGGTTGTGTTGAAATCTTAACACCAACGCGCGTGAATAGGCTCTTTATTTCGTTTTCTATTATGATTGTTATTATTTATTATTATTTGCTTTGTGGGATGTGATCGGGGTCCGCTTGTAAGTGAATTACAAGTGTATTATTTGAGCATGCTATCTTTGTATTTCTTCAGTAGGCTGTCAAGGTCAGTGAGCACTATTTGGTATTGAAGAGATTGAGAATACTATTCTGGAAGCTTGGTTTACTGATATATGTATTTTCATAGCTAGTGCTGCAATCACGTTATCTAAATTTCACATCTTTTTACAATTTCGACGTTTTACATTAGTTCATGTCGAATAAAACTTTGCGTGACAAATTCGTTTTGAGAATACGCGGTTAGTTAGCCTACTTCATTGTTTTCTTTTCCAGTTGACCCATCTAATAACAGAGACATTCATTCAAAGAGAATAATTTAATCACATCTTTTGATTCGGTTTTGGGGTTGCCAGCAGTTGTCGCAAGGAGGGCTCTACGGACACTCGTCAATGACAAATCGCACAGGAACTAGTTTAGTGGGGAATCATTCCTACAGTAGTAACGTGAATGTTGGAGGATCTGGTGTAGGGTCTCCTGGGTCTAGCTCCATTTCAAACCGTGCGTCTCTGTCAGGCATGGGAGGATCACCGTCGCAGATGGGGAGTGTAGGACCCCGCATAGTAAGCTCCGTCGGGGGAGTGGGTCTTGCTGGAGGGGGTGGTCTTACAAGAGCGTTGAATGCAGGGGTCGGTGTGAATATGCAAAACTTGAATAGTTCACGTGTGAATATGGGGCAACTTAGTGGTAGCAATGGGATTGGTGTGCAAGGTCCGGGGCGGCCTGCCAATTCTCTACTGCAGCAAGGTGTAAACATATCTTCATCTACTTATAACCCTTCAGGGGATCTCCTGGCAATGCTTAGTCGAGGTATTATGGATCCTCATTCATCACCTCTGATGCTTGGTATGTGTTAATATATGGGTTTATTTTTAAATGCTGTAAATCTGTTTTTTCACGTGCATCTCTATTTTCGTTTTTGTCTTACAGAAAACCCTCTATTGTATCCTTTATAATAATAAATAATTAAAACCCAGTACATTTCCCCACCTCTAGGCTGTGTATTTTGCTTTGAATATGGATTGGTAAACAGTAAGATATGTAGAGAAACTGAAGATTTAACCTACTTATGCAGCATCACCTCAAGGTGTCTCATCCATGTTGGGGAACAATTTTTCTACATCCCCAAGCTCAAACATGCAGGGGCAGCTTTACTCTGCCAATGGCCATGTTGGAGTCATGAGTCCTAGTAGTGTTGGAAACGGGAATGATGGCGTGGCCTTTGATATCAATGACTTTCCTCAGCTTACGACCCGGCAGTCTCCATCTGGAAACATGCAAGGATCTGTAGGTGAGTGTTGCTTATGTTTGGGTTTGTAGTTTACTTTTTGATGAATCATTCAATCAAAGATACAAGTCTACTTAGACAGATTCTCAGACCAGCATGCAAGGTGCATGTCACGTTTATGCGGGTAAACATCTAATGGTTTTCTTCCTGTTTCAGTGATTTCGTTTACTCCGTATACTTGCAATGCAATCTTATTATAGCTGCTGTTGGCATTTAGGTTTATCTTTCGGGGGTTTGAACATTGTTATGTGCTAACAGGTGGACTCAGAAAGCAAGGAATCAACGCCCTAGTTCAGCAAAACCAGGAGTTCAGCATACAGAACGAGGACTTTCCAGCTTTACCAGGTTATAAAGGTGATCTTTAGTATGTTGTATTTGCCGAGATTAGCGAAGGATGGAGATAATCCAAGCATGAATGTATCAATCTAAACAATATCTTCGACAGTATTTTGAGTAACTGTTTGTACACGATTATTTTTATAGAGAGGAGCAAAAGAAGCTGTGTAAAAGATCAATTTGAAGGATGTAAAATATGTACTTGGAATGTACTTATTGAAGACGTGTCTTTTACGCAGGTGGAAATCATGATCTGGCCTCTGAATTGCAGCAACATCACAAGGACCAGCAGCATGACTTGGCGGCAATGCAAGTGCAACACTTCTTGGTAAATAAGTGCCTGAGGACGCAATTTTTTTCATATTCTGCACGTCAAAAAATGGCAAGAGGATTGTGTTGGGAAGATCTCAATTTATTCGCATTAATGCCGCTGTTTGTGATGAATAGTACTTTGTTATGTCCTGCTTGGTGTATGCGATGGAGTATTAGCAGTTAGTTCATCTGGGTAGATTGAGTTAGCAGGAAGTAAGATTGATCAGTTAAAAGATTGGTTCTTTAGTTAAGTTTAGTTAGTCACATGGTTTCAGTGCAGATGGGGAGGTCTACTGGATTTTCGCAGGGAGGGTTCTATGCATCCAACCGGCATATGTTGCAGCAGCAGCAGCAGCAGCCAGCTGGAAACGCTTCTGAACCACAACATCTACATGCTGGTGTTGGGGGTTCATTTTCTTCAGCTCGTGGTCACCCTTCGTATCACTCCGAGGTGAGATTACTTCACATTGTAATGATACGCGGAAGCTACTAGTATGTTCTTTTAGGACGGTTGGGCTTCTGCTCTGACAAGGTCGTGTTTTAAGTTTGCAGTTGGTAATGTTGGCGCGTAGATGTTCCACCATGCCTGCCGTCGTCTCTGTTTTCAGTGACTTAGCTCGAACCACCTTGATTCATTTATGAATATAATTGAAATTCTCAACAGCATCTTGGATGATTGTTGGAAGCATTATGCGTCTAAAGCTGTATTATGTTCTACTTTGGTCTGCAGATGGTTGGTGCTCCGGGGTCGGGTGCAACGCAAGTGCATCGTTCTGGGGTTGGCGGAGCGTTAGGTCAGTATGATCATAGCTTGAACTACCAACACCAGTCTCCGTCGAGAGCAGGAGGGACGTTTACTCAACAACTGCTCCAAGCTGGGATGGCAGGAGCACTTCGTGATTCTCTAAAGCAAGGGGGTACTGCTCAGCAGCCTGACCTCTTTGGTTTACTAGGTTTATTGAGTGTAATACGGATGAGTGATCCAGACCTGACAACGTTAGCTTTGGGTACGGACCTCACGACCCTAGGACTGAATCTTAACTCAAGGGAGAACTTGTACAAAACATTTTCTTCTCCGTGGGCTGACGAACCCATTAGGGGTGAACCTGATTTTTTGGTTCCTCTATGTTATGATCAGAAAGCTCCACAGTTGCAGGTATACCTCTCTCCTTATTTTTAAGTAAGGTGCCGTTGTTAAAGTTGAACTACAATGTTTGGGTGTTAAATCTCAAATGTGATCTCTATGGCTTGTATTGATTTCAGTTGATTACGTATTGAATGAAAAGGTAATAGTATTCGTTAGTAAGTTAGTATTGTGGGAACTTTGCGCATTTACTTTTTAGAACTCCGTACCATTTATTGCCTAAGCCAGGTTTATTTCTATTGTGCAGCCGAATCACTTCACCAAGTTCCAAGATAGCACTCTGTTTTATATCTTTTACAGGTAAGATTTTCTTTAGTCTTTGATTGGACAGAATGCATCAAAAGCGCATCCATTGCATGAGTATTTTTCGTCATTTTTCGGTATTGATATGCATATTATCATGGGAAACTTCATCTGGTTCAAGTCATCAATTAACTACAATTTCGTGCGCAGCATGCCAAGAGACGAAGCTCAAATTTATGCGGCCAGTGAGTTGTAAGTTACATTCTTTTCCGTGAAAGCCTTGTGCATCTGGTGATGCGTGGATTTTACACTATTGATTGCGCTCCAACCACCTCAATAGTTGAAGGAATTTCGAATTGACGTTCTTAGTAGCACTTGGAAAATACTATCGTAAATTTGTTCCATTGTGGATATGTTAATCATGGTCAACTTTGCGTTCTGAACAGGTCAAATAGGGGATGGGTCTTTCAAAAGGAACTCAGCAGATGGTTAAAGCGCGCCCCTAATTGTGAGCCAATGGTGAAAACTCAAACATATGAGCGTGGCACGTTTTTCTTTCTGGATCCTACTACAATGGAGATAGGATGCAAGGTATGCTGTGTGGTGTTGTAATTGTTCTCTATTATTGCCCTTCTTAAGCATAGGATGAACTTGTTTGCTGCGTTTTATTTTGGCATATACTCGTGACCTATATCATCACTGCCGACTCTTATATACCTGGTCAAAGATGCTGATTGCTCTAATGCTTTTCAATGATTGGGAGTCCCTTCAGATATCTTCGATACACTGAAGGTGGAGTCTGCATGTCTTACATTATTAAACGGATTTCTGTGGATGATCTGTGAAATAATGTCCATTTTGGGGTGTCGTTTCCAGGAAAATTTTGTGCTGCACTATGACATGTTGGAGAAACCTCCGCAATTGCCAGCTCAACAGTGACGGACGAGAGCTGCGAAGCCTGATGATCTACGACATATTGAATCATATTTTCCTTTCAGTCTTGTTCAGATGTTCATATTCGTGCCTTTTTCTTTAGTGAAGCTAGTTGGTCTTGCCCATTTTAACTTCAAGTGAGCTGTCTTCAGTTCATGTTGTACTGTGAGCTTCCAGTCTCTTCAGCTCATCAGCACTGGCTGAGTTGTGACGGTTCTTGTGCAACATTTTTTTGGTAAATAGTTGTGAAGTGTTGAAGTTTCGCTAGACAATTATATGCTATCTCATTCCTCATCTTAAATTTCTGGCTTAATTGTCTTAGTCCGCTTAACCAATTCAAAAGCCGCTCCAAGGCCAGCCCATTTGCGCCTTCGGAAGCCATTTATCATAAATATGTCTCATTTCATTTCAATTAAGTCGACCGTTTTTAATTGATGCCTCTCGGTCAGTGAATTGTAGAGTTGCTTTCTACGAGTTACAGCTATCAGTAAAGTGGATTACTGAAAACCTATCTGTATTGAATTTGTAGTTTTACATTTCAATTCTTTAAAGAAAATTACGCTTGTCTGTTGTTAATTTTCTTTGTGAGAATTATGTAAGGATCTTAAACAGTTTCCACTCTTAACTCAGAGTATACGTATATACTTCTGAAATTGTAACTTGAAGGGCCAAAATTTAAACAGGACTTCATGCAATACACATATCTTGGTGATTCTGTATGTAAGTATATTATTTTGTATAAAGGAACATAATGTATTTCATCCTAAATGGTGTTTCTCTTGCTTGCACACAATGAGTGATAACCTGCAATGTTCTTTCCTTTCATGAAATTCATGGGCTATTTTGCTGTCTACAAATTTATCTTCTCGTACAGCATGAGTTTTAATTATTAGTAAAATTATAAAATAATGGAGCAAACTGTAAAAAATATCATGGAAAATACACATAGAAAATAGAAATCTCACAATTCAATTAGGTCTTCTTGAATGTAAGATCTAAGTGTGTCCTTGGATACACAATGTGGCTATTGAGTCTTATCTTAGAAGTTTCTTTTTCAACACGTTTCAACTATCTATTGTAGATTTATATTATTGGAAGGAAAAACATAAATAATATTAAAGGATAGTCAAATCTTGGTACGACATTATATTTTCCCTCAAAAAGCAAAATTTTCCAGAATAAAACATAAAATACAAAAAATCTACAAATAAATTGCTTAAAATTTCGATTTCGATTTCTAATTTTAAAGATGGCATAGAATAAAGAATACAAAAAAAATATTTTATTTTACAATATTACCCACAATATAGATATATATATATATATATATCCTCAAGTATAACATTCAAAGATTTATAATTAAAATGAAACTTAAATCTCAATGGAATAACTGGGTAAAAAGAACCTCAATTCTAAAAACAAACCATTGTACGAGCTCTCTCCAGTGTTTGTTCCTTTGAACATAAGAAAAATACATATAAAATATCAATTTCATATTAATAACATGAGAAAATGAATGGGACGCACTAGTGGTCAAATCCAGAAATTACAATGACCCTTTTACGAAGACCCATCCATCCATCTTATGGCATTCATCCACACTCCCAGATACTCATCCTCGCGTTTATTCATCCACTAATTACATCTATAATCTGTACATCCAATTGACAGGACAAAACCAACTGCAAGCATTGAGCATAGTATCTCAGGTTTTCTTTTACCGCGACAAATTCCGCCGCAGAACAGTCGGATTCAGTAGGATAGTTCCGAGGATGGAATCCGCATGCTGTTAGCTGCTCCGTCTGCAACCACACACTTGATCGGCAACCCGCTTCCTTTCAGTCCACTTCGTCGCCCTTTCCCGAGCACCCGACCTTTTAATTCTGCTCTACAATTGCTTCACAACCTCCGCTTCAAGGATTTCCCTCGTCCACATTACAAATATCAAATCCGCAGACGCACGGAGACTTGAGATCAGTGGCCTTTTGCATGCGACTCGCGGTTTTTGGCCTTTTTTTTGTCCCCTATTTTTCCATGATCGGGTGAGGAGGGGTTTTCCGGAGCATAGAATTGATGGATTGACGTTGGAAGTAGAATTGTTGGGCGTGAGATTAAGCGGCGTTTCGAGGGTGGATGTTGCCCAAGGATTCAATTGTGTTTCTCCTACAAGGTGATTGTGGGTTTCTGGGTTCGCTTTCCTGCTTTCGTTGAAGGATGGTTGATTGCCGGGGGTTGCATGGGTATTTCTAAGGAGAGTTACTGGCTAGGGTTTGTCAATGTTGGTAGTTGGTAAATTAAATTTCGATTCTTTACTGCATTCTCAGCATATTGGGAATACTCAACAGATAAAATCTGTTCGAGCCGGTGACCTATATGTAAATCCTTTTATGTTGCTACAGCCGTCATTTATCTGGAGCTCAAGGTTCTCGAGTGTTGATTCTTGGAGAAAGACGTCGAGGTTTGTGTCTCTCCTATACACACTCACACACACACACACACACAATTCGATGAGATTGTGAGTTAATGAAGTGATTGGATTTTATCACACTGACTTTGTTCGCACTTTTCCATGACTTGCTCTTCCTTGCATTTTAGTTCTTTTTCGAACTGGTCAATATGGTGGTCACTGGCATCTCAATTTGTAGCGAAATTGCAATCTCTTCCTCTGCCCACTCTTCAAGTAACTTATCCAGTGACTTTCAGTTACTAAAGAGTTTTATTTTTTTAATGTTTGCGCAGCATTTCCGCAGGGATGGCGGGAAGCCTTCGCCTGTTCGTATCTATCCCAGCTACAGCACGCCACTTTGGAATCAATGGTAAAAAGTTAAAAAATAAAATAAAATCTGTGCAGCAATTGACGATGGATTGTTATGAATTGCCATATATGTTTCCCTGTGACCTGACGTGTTTACAGATTTTACTTCATGAATCTGTTGACTTGATTAAGCAACAAGCCACACTTTCGCTAGGGAGGGAATTGGGACACGATTTGGAGAATTTCTAATGTCCGAGTCATACATGATTGTCATTTATGTAGGTGTGGAGAAGGCACAAAGAGTCCATAACAGAGTAAATGGAAGATATAAAATCAATGCTGCCTCAGGTCCTAGCCAAGGAGGGGGTGTACTGGACAGACCAACCATTGACAAGCCCACTCCTGGTCGTGAGAGCGAGTTTGATCTCAAGTGAGTTTACCATTTCTCTTTCAATACTTCACTAGTTCATTTCGATGCTGCATGCGAAGACTCTCAATTTTACCTGGTACAGTATGTGCATGTTAGGTTCAATATCCCAGTCGGCATGTCGTGGTTATTCCTCTCTACTCTTACTTGAATGCAGGAAGAAAAAGAAGATGTCACCCCCATATCGTGTTATGCTCCACAATGACAACTTCAACAAGCGTGAATACGTTGTCCAAGTTCTGATGAAAGCCATTCCCGGAATGACAGTAGACATCGCTGTGAATGTCATGAATGAGGCCCACATCAATGGTCTTGCAGTTGTTATAGTGTGCCCTCAGGAAGATGCTGAGGACTACTGCATGCAGCTGAGAACGAACGGTCTTTTGAGTTCAATAGAACCTGCAAGCTGTTAATCACTTGTCAGGTGGACCTTTGAGTGTAAAGTATATGAACGTAATCTGTGTAATAGATAGATTGATAGAAGTGATGAAATAATTCTAGAGCTCTTGCGTTGTGTGAGGATTCGTACCCCAATATCAATGCAAATCTTTTACGAGCTATTTTTTATGACCTAGAAGCTTCTTGAAACTTGAAAATGGCAGTGCCTGTCGAGAAATAAATGGGGTTACACATATTGTGCGCACTTTGCAACAGCTAGAAAGATGGAATCCTCGTGATCATTACTATTCTGTATGTAGTCGTTCACATTGTGCGGACTTGCTTGCATGAGGCATTAAACTGCCATTTGGACTATTATTAGAACTATTGTAAGGGCTTTTTCTTCTGATAAAAAGGTGCCTTGTTCTTCGACTGCAAATATTCACGGGAAGTGCAGTAGTTGATGCGGTTGTAGCGGAACCTTACGCTCAACTCGGTGTGAGTATGAGAGCCTAACTGAATCAGCTGAGCAAGAGGCTGATTTATACAGTGAGGACGCAGATGGGATGTTCCGACTTCTGAGTTACCGATCAATACCAGCTGCCCTTCTTCAAGATGATAAAAGGTTTTGGGTTGCGTGCCTTCGCCTGTTGGTCGCTAAATACACCTAAAATTCCCAGAAATTATACGATGTCACCTAAAAATTCTCTATATTATCAACTGTGAAGCTGAGATAGTCTTTTCTGAAAGGTGAGCTAAACGAACACGAAAGTCCACTTCACCCATACGCTGCCTCACTGAATTAGTGAATATGATTGCTAAAGATAACTTTTACAAAATTTACTGAGTGAGATGTTTTGAGACTTGTAGCGTTAATATGAGTTCCACGCAAAGTTACGACGAAAACAGATGAGAGGTCTAACTTGTTGCCATTGTCTGTAAGTTCCAAGGTGTAATGTTAAAATGGAACGGCGAACGCAGCTGAGTACCAAAATTTCAGAATATTATTATAAACAGCGAACAATATCTCTCAGCAGCAAATTCAAGTCCTGCTGATGATGCCGTAGCTTCCAAAAGCTGCTCCAAGGAATCACAAGGGCAACCAATCGCTTAGATGTGTTCATGGAACTGAGGGTATTGACCGCGATTCTAGAAATCACATAAAAGTTGGAATGGAAACTGATATTAATGAATTAAGAGGAAGAACTGAAGCTAACCTGGTTTCAATGTCTTGAATACCTCCCTTTAGACAAGACACTTGACAAACAGGAAGAAATAACGAGAATGGTGACATCATACAAGATAATGCTAGTAAGTCTCTCAACCCAACAGGAAACACAAAAATGGAACACGAAACACCTTTCAAGTGTGGTAAAAAGACGAGGTTGCTGTAAAGTGTCCACATCTATCAAGTATAAAGAGGTTCCAATAGCACAATTCACCAAACACGCAACTATAGAGCTAATCCAATTAAACTTTAGCCTGCAAACTAGTAAAATTTCCCCGAAACGAATTTGCCTCTGCTGCTTCCTCTTGCACAATGTTTTCATACCTTCATAATAGAGCATCGCAGGAGTTTGAGCTCGGCAAGCAGCCTGATGGCTTTAAAAATAAATTTCCAGCAAGCGTTTTCAAAAAGGTGGTGTGCTCTTCAAATTGTCTGGCTTGCAAGCATCTTACTATAATCCTAATTTTTTACTCAATTATCCATCCATCTCCTTCACTTTGCATATCCCAACTTTACAACACCACACCGAAACTCTCTCCACAGCTGCATACACTCAAACAGGAAGAAAACAGGAAGAAAACAATTGTTTTAGTTGGGATCTAAAGTTAGAACTACATCTAAAAACTTAGGGGCTCAATTCTTCATAGTTAGAAATATAGATGCACTCTAGGTTTGGTAGTTCACCTTATTTGTCTAAGAGTTAATATGATTTGGCACAGAACCTTTGAGGAATACATGTGAATTAATTATTTATAAACAAATTTTTAAATACTTGTCATGAAAACTTTGCCTAGAAAACTATAATATTCAATTTTCTCAAAGAATTAACCAAGTAATTGCAGCACCATTTGTAAGGCAACAATTAGTTCTAATCTAACTTGTACCAACATCACATTTGCAAACTATCAACAATTTCTATTATTGTATTAGAGGTCAAGTGGGTTCTATGCCACCAACCCTAACACATTTGAACTTGAGAAAATTAAAGGATAAAAATAAAGGCAAGAAAGATGCCCCAAACTATATATATATGTAGTAATATATCACAAACATACATATTTATTCTAATATTTAGTATATGATTAAGTAGAAGTAGGTAAAAATAGATTTATTTCATAATATTTTTTAAATAGGTTTTTAGAAGCTTCAAAGAGACTGCTTTGACTTTACATGTATTTGTAGTTGATTGGTTGGTTAGAAACTTGGTCAACAAGTTAATTGTATGTTGGTAGCTTGCAGAACAAGCTAACTATGGGGCACTCACGTAGAAAACTTGTCTTGCAAGTTAAGATATATATCTTATAAAGTCAATATGTTTTGGAGGTCCTATAAGACATTGCCACATAGTTCCCAGTTAAGAGTATATATGGAGGTAAGAGTGAAGCCTTTTTCACTCTTATCAATACCTTTTTAGTCTTTAGTCTTGTTTCAAGACTTTTTAGTCTGTTGCCTTTGGCAATAGCCATTCTAGTTTAATACCATACCATCTTTGAGTGATTTTTTAGTCTTTTTGAGTGGCATATGAATGTATTGACATTTTATTTCTTCGAAGTTTATATCCTTAACAATTTGATAAGAGTGCTAACTCATTGTTCTTATCTTGTTTTAGAAGTAAGTAGATTATCTCTTTTCTATTGTTGTATTTTGAAGGTTGCAGATTATCTACTTTCAAATAAATTTTTTAATTTTTTAATATTGATATCTTAAAGAGAATGGATTATCCCTCTTTGTCGATATTTCTATTTGATATTAGAGGTTTTAGATTATCTTCCTTTAATTTGACTTATGAATTTGTTAAGGTATTTGAAAGGAAAAAAAAAATCATGGATGCTACACTTAGCAAAAGTGAGAATAGATTTGTAACTATTGCTGATCTTCAAAAATCTTCAAAAATTTGTAAATATTCTTTGGATAGAAATTTCAAACATTACAAGTACCAAGTATAGAAATACTAATCCTATGCCTATAGAAAAAATTCAAAATCTACTTCAAGATGTTTTACAATTGAAGGAAGCAAGTAAATAAATTTTAAAACTAAATTTAGATAGTTTTGCTTCTACAAGTATAACATCAACAAAGATTAGTATGCTCAAGAAGTTTGATGGAACAAGATCAAAATTTTGAGGTTTTTTGCAATAAGTCAAGCTCTATCTAATGTTGCATTCCTTCTAATATCCTAATGGATTTACTCAAGTTGGATCTATAGGTGCACTTTTATTTGGTAATGCTCTCTCTTGGTTTACACCTTTGATAAAGGATTCACGATTCTTTTATGATTTGAATTCATTTTTAGAAGTATTTATAGCCATATTTAAAGAAAGTATTTGAAAAAAGTAGTAGAGACCAAGTTCTTATCTTTATGATAAATATCACAATTAGCTACCATATATGCTATCAAATTCCAAAATCTTGCTTACGACCTAGATTGGAATGACAAAGCCTTCATCAATAAATTTTGATATGGATTAAAGAAGAACATCAATGATTTTTTATTGAAAATGTTGAAAGTAGAATCTTTGAAAGAATTGTTTGATCAAGCCATTACATGCAAGAATTGATTATTGAAAAGGCATGAAGAACAAAAAATTGTTTAGAGAGAAACAAGCCAAATAATGAGAGTAGCTCTCAAGTTTTCAGAAACTTATCTATTAAGGTTGAAACCAATACAAATTGATACGATACATTTTAAATCCCTCATTAAGTAAGAAAAGAGTTGACATTATTAATCAGATTTGTGCCTATATTGTGAAGAAGCTAAGCACATTTCTCAACATTTTCCAAAGAAGCAACGCAATCACAAAATAAAGAGTACAATTGCTAAAGAAGACAATGTGTGAAAAACAAGTTATTCTAGCTATAATAGTGACATTGCAGCTAAAATCATGTGCAATATGTATGCAAGCTCTTATTTTCTATTGGTATTTTTCACTTTATTTTAAAATAGATATGTATTTAAGACCTAATAATCACAAAGTCTTTATATAATTAGATTCAAGAGCCTTATATTATTTTATAGAAAAAGATTTTGTCAAAAAACAAGAAATATCTTTTTATCAAGAAAACTAAATCCATACATATCAAGGACATAAATCTCAAAGAACTAACATATCACTACACTTTCATGTCACTTGAAAAGACTAAAAAATAAATCAAAGATGATATAGTAATAAACTAAAATAACTATTGCCAAAGACAAAAAGTTTAGGAAGTCTTGAAAAAAGACTAAAGATTAGAAAGGCATTGACAAGAGTAAAGAAGGCTTCATTCTTACCTCTATGTATATTCTTAACTAGAAGCTACATGGTGATGTCCTATAAGACCTCTAAAATGTGTTATCTTTAAAATATGAGTATCTTAACTTGCAAAACAAGTTTTTTATATATGCACCACATAGTAAGCTTATTCTATAAGCTATTAAGATGTGATTAATTTATAGACCAAGCTTCTAACCTATCAATCAACTATACATACATATAAAATCAAAAAAATATCTATAATGCTTTAAAAAGTTTTTTTTAAAAATATATTATAAAATAAATTTATTTTTATCTATTTTTACTTAATTATGTAAATAAATACTAATATAAATATATATATATCTATTATTATATTAAAATTATTTATAATATATAAAAACTAATTAAAAAATATAATTTATTTATAAATATTGATATATATTAAAGTAATTAGTTGATTCATTTAAAGAGAGTTGATTTAAGAAAATTTATTTTAAAGTTTACTTATGTTGATTGTAGTATTTAAATTATATAGAATTTAGATATTTAGTATAAAATTTAAGGAGAAGATTGGATCTCAAAGATAAAAATCTAAACCTCTAAGAAACTTATTTGGAGAGATGAAAGGAAGGTATGGATGGATGAAGACAAAAGGTAAAGATCTTCATCTCTATTGGTTAAAGACCATATCCAAAAGGCATTTAGTAGGTTGTCTGCAACCATAATAAGGGTTTTGGAAACATTAGAAGGAGCATTTGAGTATTAAAGGAAATAGGTATAAGGTTTAGAA